CACCCATTTGGAAGGCCGCCAGACGCCGTCGTACGGGAATTTCAACTTTTCTCAATTTCGCCAAAAATAAAAATCGGCCAAACTTTTTAATGCTATTTTCGAAAATAGTTTACCATAAGGGTCTTTTGGGCAAAGTATGGAGAAATTGAATTTTTCACAGTTGTCCGACCATTCTCGATTTTTACAGACAGTCGCTCTTAACATCTACTTCCGGTCTGATAATTTAGACTTCCGTCATTGAATTGGCCAGAAATATCTGTCAGTTTAGAGTAKTTACTGTTGTATTCTCGAGTTTCATTGGGGATTTTACCAAATAATGCTGAAGCACATAGATAAAAATATCCCTGAAATCTTTTGATTTCGTTACGGTTGACATAACAGACAACCGATCAATAGCCGAGTAGTCCTGGTACCGTTTCAGTCTTCAGCTTTCATTTCCGGGTTGGAGGCGAAGCAGTTAAAGTTTCCTCTAATGTTGTCGTATCAAGTGATTTGGAATCTTTAACATCATCTGCTATTTTGCGATCGCCGTACTGATAATGGATTCCAACGGCTCGCATCAGAATCTAGGACTCCACTACGAGGGCGTATTGGAAAAGGCTGGAAAGAGATTTTTTGAGGTTGGTTGTTCTTTCGATACTCACACATCAGGATCAAACTTTCCCCTACAAATATAACTTGGAATAAGTTAAAAAACCTATCATTTCCTTACTTGTCGTAAAAGACAATCTGTGTAGGATGATGGATATAAGAAAGCTAAGCATGATTATGAATTTAAAAGCGAAACTTTTGAAATTTGTTCAAGCCCTGTTTACATAGTTTCGTGTATCGAAATGCAGTTGTTTTAGAATTGTTTAGTGAGTTGCCTTATCTTATTAGTACAGTTTGTTTACAAGTGTAGACGAGATACCATAGATGGAGACCTACAGTATTTCCGCACGTTTGAACCGCAAATATTAAACATAAATTCACAATCCGTCATTTATATATATTTTTTTAACGTGACGCTTTGCGAGATCAAACTTCAACCCTTGTCTTATACGAAACTAAAATCAACTCTGTCTTTCGCTTCAGATTTGATCCCAACGAAGTAAAAAAACCATTAGAATTATAACATAAGTAGGAAAAAAGTTAAATTMTATTGATATTTAATCAGTTAACTTTGATTGATGCATTCTGAAAATTGTTGCAAAGACTATTTGTATAAATAATTGATGAACATGAATAAATACTTCATGCTTCATATGACATGGCACAAAAAGTTGCTTACATACAAGACTAAGCTCATATGGTAATTTAGAGCCAGAGTATCTCTTGGTTCCCTTGAATATTAGTAGGRAAAAAACGCTAATTCGAAAAATAAATCAATAGACAATTGAAATATCCTGGGGGAGAGGGACAGTCAAAAATGTTACTTAAGCTAGAAATAACTTTGGTTTTAATTGTGTGTGTAGGGTTTCAGGAAGCGTTGGTTCATACTGGAAGGAAAGGATCTGTCTTATTACAAAGCACCAGAAACTACTGTAAGAAAATATACATTTTGCATTTTAAAATTTATATTTATTATCATTAATAATAAACATTTGATGTTATTTATAACTATATAGCCTTGAAGGTTCTAAGCATACCATTTAATAAGTTATGTATTTGAAATCATTGATATATAAATTCCAGCCTTGCATGGATAACTGGAAAGCTTTATGTGGCTAATATAATATGACAGATCAATCAGCTGATTGATCTTTGCATTCCCTTTGTGATATATATAAATATCATGTTATGAACAGGTAATTATTACTGTGTTACTTTAAAACCTGCCCTGCTATGTTAAGTTTTTAAAAAAATCATGTGTGGATCGATAAGTGTTTGATAAATGTTTTAAAGGGACTATATTAGGTTTTCATATTTCCCCCCCCGCCCCCCCCCCCCCCCAAAAAAAACAACAACACACACACACACAGGGTTATATTACTGCACTCTACCATCAGCTATATTTTCAAATCTAAGCCCGACAAACACTCTTAAATGTGCTCTGCAGCCCTTGATTGTTGATCTTCAAATCACACTAAATAATTATCCATTTACAGTTGAATGACTATGCAGTTAGTGTGAAACTTTAATGCCATGCCAATATATTTGACATAATATTGATTTGCTGTCAAATAAGAATAATACTTTATATATCAGGGACAGATCCAGGAATTTGTTAGGGGGGTGTCTCAAATGGCGTAATGTATACACTGTAGATATTGTACATCATTTTAAAAAAGTGTGAGAGTTAAGTACGGCATTAGGAGGTTGTCTGGTTGTCAAATGACGTAATGTATATACCGTAGATATTATACATCACTTTAAAAAAGCATGAAAGTTAAAATATGGCATTAGGGGGTTGTCCGGTGCACAGCAGGACACCCCCTTGACTGTGTCCCTATATATATGTTTGTGTATTCTTTTATTTGCAGGAACAGAATCTTCTTGGCATCATTGATATGACAAGGGTAAAAAAAGTTATTAAATCTTTTACAATTCAGTGGATCTGATCATTATCCAGCCCCGGGGAGGGGGGTTGGGTACTCCGCCAGAATTTGGGTAGGGGTGTTCTGCTGGGATTCTGAGAGGGGTACCCTGTTTATGATTTTTTTWAAAATCAAATTTGTGGACCCTGTTTATGACAAAAGTTATAATTTATTGCACTGAGTTCCTGTTTCAATTATCATGTCATCTCGCATATTGTTTTTTTATGACCATAATAACCAGTTTCGTCACTATGAAAGTAGAATCCCTGAATATGACAGGAAACTCAGGAAGAACTTGGAACTTGAGTGAAATGGCATAATCTGTTTATGACAAGAAGCTTGAGAAACCATACCCTGTTCAGCGGATCATCCCCGTATAGTCTTTATATGGGAGTACCCCCCCCCCCCCAGGTATCCAGCGGCATTAGGAGAGAGGTCTGCCTGTGCATACCCCACCAATTCTAGCTTAGAATTAATTCACAGGTTTAAGCATGAAAAAGACTGTAAAAATCACTAAAAAGGTGCATCTTAATTTTGTGAACCTCACTATATATACCTACTCAAAATCCTAGATGAGTGCATGCAAGCACACAAATAAGGATAATGAACTGCTGCCCAGCAGCCTTATTAATGGCCACATTCTTTTGTAAGTCATGGGTTCAAGCCCAATATAGGCCAAGGACAACACTGAAAGTCTAAAAAAATACTTGAGGGAAAAGTGCTGCCTTGGGTGACTAGGATGACCATGTAAAATGACAGTCCCATCTCACTAATAGTGATGTTAAAAAAAGGGGAACATGATCGTCAGTTGTGATACTATTTTTACAGAGAAACAATGTCATCCTTTCCAATATTCTAGAATAATAATCATGAAAATAATAATTAAAATTCTACTTTAATTCTACATTCTCTTCCCTGCCTCACTAGTACTGTGCGGACAAACTATCCAGAACCACTTGAACAAAATTTAAGATAAAAACTCTTTAGCCAATCAGGAGACAGCAAAACCAGTATAACATATCGATCTCAGGCAATCATAGTTGCATTTGTTTTTATTCCACACTAGTTGTTAACATCTGCTCTCTATTTTCTAAAGGTTAAAAGTGTTGTCCCATTCAAGATGATAAACAACAGTTTCCAGATTAATACGAGTACTCGAACCTACACATTCGTAAGTCAACTATTGCCTGTTACATCAGGGATGTAGCCAGGACTAACAAAATTTAGCAACTCAGTGAAAAAACTCCATTTTGTTTGAGCCCAGGAAACGCTGAACCAAAAAAAGAAAACAAAGCGGCATTATGAGAAAAGACAAAGATTGCCATATAAATTCTAAATAGCTGCCATTTTGTTCCCTGCCCCACTCCCCCCATCCCTGCATATGCCCCTGTACATGCACATACCTTGATCACTTTGCATGGTCAGGCCTCCGCAATTCTCCAATTTCAATTTCTATGTTGTTCAGGGTTGCCCTCGATTGCGCATAGAATTATTTTGAATATTCATGTGTTCCCATGAAGGTCTGTGGCATTCCGAAGTGTTTGTATTGTTGAAGTTGTGCATTCTTTACTTTACCGTTGGTATTTGTGAATATTTGTATACTTAAACGAGACTAATTGTTCGTAAATGTTCGTAATTTGGAATGGAGGCTCTTTCTTGCCATGTTTATCTAGGGACCTTTGAACCACTATACGATTATGCTATTTGAATCTTTGATAGACTGCTCCATCTTCTCAGTCGCTGACTGAATGGATAAGTGTGCTTCGTCAAGCAATGCAACTGGAAAGTTTCTCCAATAAAAGGGCAAGAAGCAGGTATTCTAGACCTACATAATGACCAACCATTTGCGCGTATACTACATACAGACAAACAGATCAGACAGTACATCTATC